CAGGTATCGGTTGAAGGAATTGGTGACCCCGCGAGGATATGTTTTGCTTGACAGTTTTGCTTGACACTAGGCGAACAGGAATGTCTGTTGTGAAAATATTAAAAAGCAGGGGACCCAGGACAGACCCTTTTGGGACACCAGCTGCAACTAGGAACTCCCTAGAGAATTCGGACCATGAAACTTTTGAAAGTCACAAATTGATAAGCAATGCTACAAAGAAGGGGTTATGAAGTTTTTTGTATGAAGTTTTTTGATATCTTAACTCAAAGCCATAGTTGGTTGAAAGTAGAAGAGACCTTCACGGATGCTGAGCGAATCGGTCGTTGAGGTGTTGTTTTGAAAACCAAGCTGAAAAGTATTTGGTTTTCGGTTAAGTGGTGTTTGCGTTCGCTAACATCAAAAGATTCATATAGCTTACTTATGGAGCTAAGAAGAGAAATAGGAAGAGAGAGGTAGCTTGAGGGGAGCTTTTTGGGCTTACCATTTTCATGGACAGGAATGACTATTTCTCTCTAACATGTCCTTTTTTGCCTCCCATGCTGACAACATTGCTTTTCTTACATCTTTGAAGTACCTGGTATGGCCCTTCATATGGTTGTTAGAACAGGTTGCGTCCAGTCATTACAACCCATTTGGCTTTTTCTAGCATACTCTAGAATCGCTTCAACATTTGATTGAGAATTATAGGCAGGGCTTTATTACCAATTTTCGTGACATGCCAAAAAACTGTGGACTTGAACTAACATCCTGGATGGATGGTTATTGTGCATGAAGCATGAAGACTTGAAAGCCAACCGACGATAAATATCGACTCTACTTCCTCTGCGGCAATACCTGCCATGCGAAAATGGTAAGAGCCAAGCGATGTCTATGTATGCCGTCCGTCGACAGTTGCACCTCTCATGTGTGTGTTTGATATTTTGATACCTACTCCGTTCTCTAAAGCATCTGCTGAAAGTGGCAATCTCTCACTATATTTATTATACCTAAATTGATGACTGTTTTGATTATAAAAAATTACAATAGTTTTACAATTCCTTTTTAAAAACTTTTATTATGTATTATTAGGTCTGTTCCACGAGCTACTCATAGTAACTTTGAGTAAACACTGTGTATACACAAGCGCGTTCCAACAGCAAATTTTCAAGTATTTTTGAGTAAATTTTACTTCTGTTTTACTCATGTTTTACTATGAGTAGCTCGTGGAACAGACCTATTATTTAAGCATAGTTCTCCTTGTGTAATACAAATTAATATTATGTTTTAAATTAACTATGAAATCTTCATTTTTTGACTAGTTAATTTATGAAAAACCTATATATAAATTGACGAATGATAATTTAAATCTGAAATGTTTTTGTTACTAGTAGTAACAATCTGGATTAATAAATACCCGGCGTAAGTAATAAAACCGCATTCTTTTGAAAAATTAAATTTTATGCTTCAATATAGTCGTGGATTATGGTCATGGTTAGGTCATGTGCAAACCATCAGCCTATGTCATATCAAGATCATAGTGCGAGTTGCCATATCACACCCTTCCCGAGGTGAAGCTGTTTTGATGTTGATAAACTGCGCGTATTGGCATAACAGAACACCACGGATTTAGAGGGGAAAACTCGATAAAACTCGTGATCTCCTATGTTATTTGACCCGTGCCGTGCCGTCTCTAAACGAAGACCTCCGGATAATTGACACCCTCCGGTTGTAAGATAGGCTTGTCCGGTTATAGTGGATCTCTGCTCGAATCGATTCTCTCTTCTTCGACACTCATGGGTTCAAAATTGTATACGATTCAATATAAAATAATGCTACAAAAACAAGCTTAGCTAAACCGAACTCTTTAGGAATCACACATCCCAACAAGCAGTGACGATTGCTCTAAGGTGCGGAGGTGTGCGGTGAACACCCTAACATAATTTCCAAAATGTCAAATAACATTGAAATATAAATTTATTAAGTATCTTCACATCAAGAATTATTATTATTTATTACATTTCCATATATATTTTTTTAAAGTTTTAGCAAAAACAATTAAATATAATTGTCTATGAAAACTCAATCAATTTGCTTCTGTTAGCCGCTATACTTGTTAGTTGTGCTCATATATTTGCAGCTCAAATCACAGAACATTTCTATTTTATTTCGTCTCTCCCCTTTGTGTGCAAAGAAGTTGGCCACACATTCATACGTTGCATATGAACAAAATAATGTGCGTGTGCTCCCATTCGTAATATCAGAGATAGAGATTTATATAGTGGGAATTGTATGAGAGTAAATTTTTGTTGTATTCGAATATCAACTGCATGCATACGAATCCAACATGATGATTTGCCAAAGTGGTTGCGTGAGCGGCTGAAGTTTGCAGCTCATCTCAGCATACATTTCTATCACATTTCGTCTCTCCCCTTTTAACAGTAGCACCCACGAATTTCTGTTCTTACTGTGCGGAGTAGTCGTGCGCACATTTGTACGTTGCAAGTGGGTTTGATTTTGTTTGATCACTGGATAAACATGTATGGTTCTGAGTTAAAACTCTTTTGTTTGAAAAAAGTTGGTTTGATATTACAAGTATGTATATGAAAAGATTTGTTTCTTCCATATTGATATAATATTAAATTTATATATAAATTATTAATTTAATTTGTTTAATATGTTCTTTTGTTAATAAATTGTTAATATAATATTGCGACTATATTATTGCCTTATATAATATAGTTATTATTAATAAAAGATCTCATATATTTTAATATAATTGGTACATGTAAAAACAACATTAAAGAAGGGCCGCACACCCTTCCAGATAGGGCACGCGTCGTCACTGCCAACAAGGTACCCATTGCATCTTCTAACAGTAATACAAACAAACAAACCAGAAATCTCTACGCGTTCTTATCCCTTCGTGAGATCGGGCGCTCCTTCGAAAAGAATTATAAGGAACTACGAGCGGCAATCAGACTAGTCGGGAGACAAAAATATTTCGGTTACATCCGAATCTTTAAAGTCTAGGTTAGCCTGAGTAAAACAGATACCTATTACACCCAAGGATAAAAAAGGAACCTGTATCGAAAGGTCTGCGCTTATTAGATGCGTCAGCTTCGAAATCTGATGGCAAAAACACAAAATTCCATGAAGTAAGAAGAAGAATAAGTAAGAATTTAGGCGTGTTGTAAAGTCCAGTCAAAGGTCTACATCGCATCATGTCCACACTAAGGGAAAATCTACGGAGACAGCTCTACATGCCCTTACTTACAAAAATTGAAAAATCCTTTCTACTCAAAGAATTCTGTCTGGTTGCTTTCGTAGAGATTGAATTTTTCACAATCTCGCATCTGTTGATGATGGTAGGCTTATTGTGCTCATCAACAGCATACAAAAGGGTGAACAGAGGTACAACTAAGGGGGAGCATTCTCCCCTCTCCTCTGGAATATAGTGATGAATGAAGTGGTAATAAAACTAAGGATAGAGGGCTGCAAAACTATTGTTAATACAAATGATATTGCGATAATAGTCACAGAAAAATATGCTACCGCTCTTAGCGATATTCTACAAAACAGTCTTAATATCCTAAATAAATGGACACAAAAATGTGGCCTTGGGATGATTCTAGGAAAGCGAATAATGCGCTCTTATGCGAAAAGGTTGTTGGTACGAAGTGCTGCACGCATCACTTAATGGCTTTATATAGCTGTCATTAGACCTATACTGGTATGATGGATAGCTCTTGACAAATCTTTGTATTGTTTGGTACTTAAGAGGCGTCAGCGAAGAGCTACACACTGTATCAGTATGGCTTTATGCACCACACGATTCATTGCACTAGACCTAACGCTTCATTTACTGTCACTAGATATTAGTAGTAAATAAATAGCAGCTTCATCTGCTTTTAGACTCAAAGCTACCTCACAATGAAGAGCAAGTGATTACGAACAAACCTCCATTCCCAATATTTTCAATTTTATTTCTAACAACACCGACTACATCTTTCCTATTCTCAATTTCGATAGAAAATTCAATGTCGAATTTCTATTTAGATTTATGGACGTGAGGTTGTCACTCTTTAGGTGAAGTAGTGGAGTTTTCTCAGAGGAACTGAATAAATCTTTCTACTTCCGGATGATTGTGGTATTTTTCAAGCGGAAGTGATCGCCATTAGGGAAGCTATAGCTTCTTTGAATGTGGATGATAAATTTGGCACTAATATATAATTACTATCAGACAGTCAAACTGCTTTAAACTCCTTGAGTTTAGTCCAATTTACATCTAGGACAGTTTTTGACTGCTACACATCTCTAAATGAAATGTTGATGTAGCTCAATATTTCTCTTACCTAGGTCCCCGGTCATAGGGATATTTTCGACAATTGCAGAGCAAACGAGCTAGCAAGAAAGAGTGCTTCAGGACCTCACTCGGAAGACCTAAGTAATCTGTGGATATCTTTAACATCATGCAAATTGTTAGTGAGTTCTTTCTGTCTTTCTATGACATTTTTAATACAAGATGGAAAGACTCAACGATATGCAGGCGTCTGTATGCAATCTAGTCAGTTTCCATTAAACGGAAATCCAATATTCTCATTGAGATGCCCTGTAGAGATGAGAGTGCCTCTGTCGAAAATGAAATTAAGATTTTTGGAAAATTAAGGTGTGTCTGAACATAATATATAAAACCGGCATCGTTAATTTGATCTTTTTGAAATGAGATTGTATTATTCAATGAAATTCAAATTGTTCTATCTTTGCAATAAACTTCATTTAAAATTATTATGATATATTGCGAACAAATTTAAAATTTGTGTGATAGATCCTACTATTACTAATTTATCGTCGACAGATTTGATACGTTAATTTCAAAATAAAATATTTCACGTAGATATTCATAATATACTTCATATTTGGTAAGTATATGTATCTAAAATTTATTTCTTAATTATATTAGCAATACATTTATTTTTAATTTTGGAATGACTTTATTCATTCAAAGTGAAATTATAAGTATAAAAAAAATTAAATAATTTCCAGCGTAGGCACAATGCATAGCTCGCTGTACGCGATTTCGCACTTGAATTGCACAGCTGTCACGGTGACAGCTGTGAATTCGCAATATTTATGTTTAGATGATATCAAGATTTTATTGTTTTATTAAAAGCTATTCTCTGATTTCAAGTATATCTTAAAGCGAATAGTTTCTTAAAGTACCTGATATTAAAAAGGAGTGGAACGAAGGAATTTAAGTGTCACGCATTGGTTCTGCGCTGTTGTTGATATACGATGTAATTTTTTACATAAAGAGGTGCGCGATAAACTGACTGAGTATTTAAAAGAGCAGACAAGCAACAACAAAATAATTGGAAATCCTTTTTTGGTTCCGGAGTTAATAGTAAAAGCCGACTATGAGGTATATAATGTTGTTAGAAGTGAATAAACATTTCATGAATGGATGAAAAAACTTGAAAATGCCGGAAGTCATATGTAACCAGATGAGGTGACAGGTAGCGGGAACATTGAGTGAAAATATGAAGTGGGGCGTGCCAGCTAAAAGAGATTGGTGAATTGCTACTAGTATAGTATCTTCAGCACCGGTTCCGCCTTTTCAACAAAAACAAATATAGTTTGTCCGAGGTTAATCTGCCAACAAGCAAAAATCTTGCACCAAAGTCTTATCAAAATGTTGACTGAAACTGCTTTTAAAGGATGAAAACAACAATTGTAATAAGGCCAGCAAGGTAAAGGAAGGTAAATTTAGATTGAAAAGGAAATTTGCTGTTATTGCTTCAACGATTGAAAAACATCATCATGATGCTCTCAGTGCATATAGCCGAATGGTGCTATTACCAAAGGTAGACAAATGTAAAGTAATTATTACGTTTTAACCGCTGTATGTAGTACATTGAAAGCTAGTGCAAGTGCAAAAATACGTCAAACGCCAATTGTTCTACGCCATTTCACATTAACTATAACCAGTTTCTTTCTATGTCACTGTTGTTGTTGTTGTGGTAACCCGCTGAGATCTTCTTGTAAAGTTTCTTTAGGGGGTAATAAGCAATAAAACAATTATAAAAGAAAAACGTGGATAATTTTATCCATTATAGTTCATGTATATGAACTATACATTTTGTTAATGGATTCTGGATTACCCTCTTAGAACTTCGACTTAGAACTATTGTCCATCGCGTGTAATGAAAATGTTAACATTTATTTTTTAATATTGTATTTGAACTTCAATCGTGTGTATTGTTTCAAAATTTTTCTCAACTGTTATAATAGAATATAATTAAAATACTAAAGCGAAAAGTAAAAAACACAAATATTTTCCCTGTTCAATTGAATATAAAAAGTTTATAATAAAATTTTATAGACTGATAAATTCATTAAAAATTTCTTACGTCATGTTGTTGTTGTGATTTGGGTTAGTGCTATTGCGCACTTTTACTCTTTTGTGGCTGGTGGGCTTATTTCTGCCCCACACTAAGCTTTAACTATACTAGAATTATTATCATTTATTTATCTTTTAACTGATGACGGACCGTAGATCAGCATATCTTCCGGTGCGTCTTGAGATGGACTTAAGGTTTGTAAGGGCGGGGTTGCTCAACGTATCAACTTTTGTGAATAATTCTAGGGCTCTGTCCTTGATATATTTTTTCACTGAGTCGATTCTTAGATCTCTATGCATGTCTCTTGTTCTAATATGCCAAGAAATCCTAATTAGGCTTCTTAAAGCCAGATTTTGTGCTATCTGTAATTGCTTTATGGCAGTATTTGAGGCTTTGCTGTATGTTACACATTTGTACAGCAGTGCAGCAGGGCCTAATTATTTGAGTATATAATAACTTTCTATTTTTAAGGGTGAAGCGATTATTATTAAACAGCGGCTTAAGGAGATGTAGAGTTTTAGAGCAACTATTCCGTTTGCATTTCATATGTTTATACCAATTAAGCTGTTTGTCAAAAGTGACTCTTAGATATTTTATGCTTTCCTCCCACCGTATCTCCGTGCTACTGCCGCTCACTCCTAGAGGATGCTGCCTTCTCTTTCGTGTTATGAATATAGCCTTGGTTTTGTCGTTATTAATTTTAATTTTTCGATTTCTGGAAGTATTCCACCATGAGGTCTATATTTCTCTGTAAGGTGTTGCTTATATTTCTGGCATCCCGGTCAGAATAAAACAAGCACGTGTCGCCTGCGTAAAGCGCCATTGACAAGGGGCTTAAGGTGGAGATGTCCTCATATGCTTTCAAAATTTAATGTGGCACTATTGATTAACCTGTCAAAAATCTTTTCTTATTTTAAATTATTTCAATAATTTTTTTCAGATATTTCTTACAAGCAGATAGAATTTTCTTACAAGCAGATAGAATTCAAAATATAATTGATAGAGTTAAATACTGTACTAAAGATGGCTTTCACGCTAATGGGTCTAAAAATATGCAATCACTGCAGCTACCTGTTGCATTGTATAATTTTGTTCAACGTAGTTCTTATATTCTGGATTGGTAGATACTTGTTGTCTGGAGGCAGAAACACTTTTACTTCTGGCTCCGAATTCATCTTGCAAGAGCAACAACTGAATATGCAACAGCAACGTATTTTAAGTGATATTAATATTCAAGATTCGCTAAACGAACATGTAAGCACATAAGAGTTTTTCAAGAGTTTAAATGCTATTATTTATGAATTTACTTTATTTACAGGAGCCACCAATTTCAGTTGATAAGGCACCAGTTGTTCAATTAAAATCACTATTAATTGATATTAATCGGTTTAAAGATCCGTCTGCCGCATCAGTAATGCAGTTACGTAAAATTGCAGAATCCGCAGAGCTTAATCCAAATTTAGGCGACCCTGCAAATATGATAAATACAATAGCTACTGAATCTATCTCCAAAACTGATGAAAACATTGTGATAGGCGATGAAAAAGGTTTTGGCAATCGATTGCGCTCCTTACTTAACTGCTATGATCGCCCTTACAAACCTGAAATCTTGCAGCGCGGTGATTTTTGGGTGTTACAAAACTATGTACGTGCCGATCATGGCGAACTGAAGTGCCATGAATCTATTACTTATACGACGCATGCGGACTATACGTTTTTGGATAGTCTAATACCATTGCTAGAAAGGTGGATGTTAATTACTGCATAAAATCTTATTTATTATTTTATTTTCCTTTACAGATGGAAGGCACCTGTCAGTATAGCTTTGTATGCTCCGGGTAATGATTTTCAACCAACACTCGATTCCATTAGATATTTACGAGACTGTCTACCCGAGAGTAATCTTGTTCGCATGTATGCCACATTTCACATATATTTCAATACAAAACATATCCCAGAAATTGTTCCCATGCATCAGGATATTTTAAAAGTAGGCCATAACTGTAAGAAGCGGGCAACCTTTGGAGCTATGGTAGATCGCTTGTATAGAATTCAAAAGCAACTTTTCTATCCTATTAACGTGGGCCGCAATATCGCACGTGATGCTGCACTTACTCATTTCATACTCGCTTCTGATATGGAAATGTATCCAAGCATGGTTCTAGTGAACAAATTTTTAAAAATGATTGCACGAAATGAAACGTATTTACAACGCACAGCTCCCAGGTATGTACTAAAGTTTATAAAATCCATATTTGTTTGATAATTAATTTTACACGACAGAGTCTTTCCGCTTCCAATTTTTAAAGTCGAAACGAATTCAGCAGTGCCGCGGAATAAAACTGAACTGCAGGAAATGCTGCGTACTAGTAAGGCGATTCCCTTTCAGGAATCCGGCGGCGCTAGTTGCCACCGCATGCCAAAATCAAAAGAATGGATGGTTGCAAACGAAACAGAGGAACTGAACGTCTTCTATATTGGGAAACGTATCAATTACTTCGTAAACTGGGAACCGGTCCATATAGGTACTCATGCTGATCCACATTACGATGAACGAATCAGTTGGGAGGGAAAATGTGATAAAGTTACACAGGTGCGTTGAAAAAATTTAAATATGCGTAAATTTGGACAACTTCTTGCTAGTATGAATGCGCTTTTAGGTTTTATTTAGTGGAACAAGAATATAACACTATTTTTTCGAATAAATTTTTTATCAATAAAATTTGAAGTCTCTTAACAAATAGGAATGTGACGCCTCTCTGCATACAAGACTTTTTTTTTTGCTTTCAGTGGGATGCTTAGGAATGTGCCAAGAGAGTGAACACACTAGAAAATAGTTTTTGTCGAAGTCTTTATCTTAGTCTTTACTTAAACATTCCTAAATTAGTTATTATTGATGACGTGCTTATTTATCTACCAAAGCAGTTAAACAGATCATTTGAGAAAAAATAAGATTTTTGTGTTAATGAAAAGAAATTTGATTAAAGTTTTTGTTTGGTCGAATTTGAAGTAAAGTTTAAGATAAGTGTTTAGCGCTCTATTTTTGTAGTAGTGTCCGCTTAATTGTTATCCACTCCATACTACCCGCGTAATTCAAATATACCTACACTATTAACACCGAAGTACGAAAAAATCATTGAATGTTTGACATTTTTAAACTTGGACTGATAAAATAAGGAATGACTTTTTGAAAAGATAGGCACGCGTACTTGTTTAGTTCAGAAGCCTAATTTTCTTACTATAGGGTATTACTTTTTTGTTCATTTAAATACAATCAAACTTCCATAACTCGAAGTACCATTTTGCAAAGAAAAAGTTCGACTTATGTAGACATCGAAAAAAGAAATAATCAAAAATTAGGGTTTGGGATTTTAATTTTTTTTCTTATTTTCTTTTACTGAAAATTTCAATTCCTTATAATTTATTTAAAACCTTATAGTGATCATCAGTTGTAGTATCATTCGTTTGTAAAAAAAAAATTCAAGAATTTTGAAAGAGTCTTCTACTTCATTCTTGGTAGGCTGATGAACAATTTCGCCCACCGAACCCTCATTATCACTTCTCGTTGCGCTTAGAATCGGGTCCACTAATTCAGAGCAATAATGCCCAATAATATCGTCATCTGTAGGAAAGCTTGATATACACATTTCATTGTCAAACTCAATATAAACGTTAAGAGTAGTAGTTAAGAGTAGTAATTTTATTTACTTTACTTTACTTTACTTTTACTTTTATTTTATTTTACTTCAATTCACGGTCTTCATCAATGTTATTCGAGAAATCTAAAGGAATATGTCGTCTTGTTGGTCCCATGTAGAAAATTGACCAAATCTAGTTTTTTATAGCAGTGCTCTATCGTTTGACTACTTACAGCAATATACCCTGCTTTTTGTTTGCTTCTATACGCTTTAGTGCTTCCTTTACGATTCCGTTGCGATAGGCACATTTTAAATTTTGAATAACTCCCTAATCAAGCGGTTGCAATTTAGAGGTTATATTCGACGGACGAAATGCCAATTCTATGCATTTGCACAAATGTCAGCGACTGGCATTTGCACAAAGAAGCAGCATAGGAAAGAAAAAATTAAACATTTGGTTTGGAAGAAGGGACTTCTCCTAACACCAAATCGGATTTATACTTAAAAAAAAATTCGACTTATAGAATGCACTTTCCCCATATTCCTATTGGCACGTGACAATATTTTTATTCGAGTTATAGAAGTGCGAGTTATGGAAGTTTGACTGTATATACACATATATGTAATACGATAGCTTAGTTGATCATCGACTGCTTGTCTACCTAAATAAAGCATCGACTGCTTCTTCTCATTACGAGTGTGTTATCTCTTATTTTTTTTATAATGCTCGATTTTATATGCGTAAAAATGTAAATAGTGAAGTGAACAGAAAGGATATATGGTATATATTTTTTTTTAATTAAATCGTATTAATTCATTTTAGTTTAATATTGAAAATGAATAATTAAAAGATAAATAAATTTGGGTTATTTTCATCAAATCAGATTTACTTACTTTAGTAACTGATGTTAAGAACTTTGTTTTTGTTGTTTTTTCTTTTTGTTTTTTGTTTTAACAATACTTATAATCAAATTAAATAATTTCTTTTTAATTTCAGGCGTATGCACTTTGCGCTCTCGACTATGAGTTCCACATACTAGACAATGCATTTCTTGTGCATAAGCCGGGCACCAAAATATATGAAAGCGAATATAATCGTGGTTGGCTGATGCGCAAAACAAACAAAATAATCCGCACTATAATATACCCGGAATTGAAGGTTTTGTATGGCACAAGACCGGGCTGCGCCATTCACACTTAATATAGCGAATAGCGACATAGCGAGTTGGAAGACTATAACTTTTAGCCTTCAAATCGAAATGTTATGAAAATGTACTGAGCAAACTGAATGTTTTGAATTTTGTTAAAATCGTTATTGTTATATTTAATTTAATCTATAGATTTTAAGTCCAGCTTAATTTGCCAGCTACTTGGACGGACAGACGGTCAAGCTTTAAAATTTTATTATTTTACAGCTCCATTAATTTTTTTTTAAATTTAGAACAATTAATCAAATTAATTAAAATATTTTTTATGAATTAAATATGAAATATATACGATATATAAATATACAGGCAATTAAATATAAAATACATATTTAATAGCCAGTTATTAAATATTTTTCATTTGATTTTATTCTAATGTAGTTGTTATAATGACAATTTAAAGACGTTCGTTTAAAAAATATGGAAAAAATAGTTAACATATAATAAATTCTAATATGTTTAAAATTTCTTAAGAATGAGGTATAATTTGTATATTAAATGAAACAATCATTTGCAATCTACTAGACTAGATAATCCAGTTGTAGGAATTTAAATTCATATAGTAACATAATTGGTTGAAAAGCAAAATTGAAAGACTGAAGACAATTAAAAGACAAACTTAAGTGAAACATTTCAAAAAGCAAAACCAAAGACTTAAACAATAAAATTGAAATTTATTAAATATTTATAAACATTTTTGTATAATTATAATTATTTAAGTATAAATTAGTTGCTTTAAATATATATTTTGACATTTTACTATAAATTTTTTAAATCAAGACTTTTAATTGAATTACACAGTCTTGTGTTTTATTACAACTTATTTGAAATTATGAGATCAAAATTGTTAACGGAAGTATTTAAGTTAAAGAGCATTGTAATTATAAACTGTGGATCATTAAGATAATATATTAAAAGAAATATGTTTCGTCTGATCTGGTTATTTGCTTAGTTTTAGTTAAATGAGAATGACACCTTTTTTGTTTTTGTTGTGCTCTCTTTAGGCTTGGATTTGTACTCCACTTCCAAGTATTTTGCGCTTCTTGAAAGACAGATGTAAATTCTTGTACTAGAAATAAACTCTGTACAATGAACTTGTATAATTCTCTAGACCCGTCTCATTGAAGTGGCTAGATGAGGTGTTTTTGCATTGACTCAGATTGACATCGATTTTAATCTCACCCAAAACAAACACATAAACTGATAAACAGAGATACTACTTGTATTATAATGATGTCGGAAGAGAGTCCACAAAATCATATTTTTCCAGCAATTTACAAGGGTACAAGAGAAGAGAATGACCACGCAGAAAGTGAATAAATGGAGTGAACAACGTCTAAGGAGAAATTCGTAACTTAGAAAAAAAGGAAATTGTAATGATAAAAGTGAAAAAACATAAGAGATTTGAGTCGAACTGTCGAACTGCGTCGATTTAATTTATTAATTATTAGCTATCAATGGCCTGTGGAGAAAATGGATATCAGCTGAAGGCCTGCAGTCTTCTATAGAAAACTTGGTATTATTAAAAAAAATTATCTCTATTTCAGACTCTGTTTGAAGAATATTTTTAACATAAATAATAAGTTTATCTGAGCTATTATTTGAAGATAATGACAACCCATGTTATAGGAGAACTGTCAACTAAGTAATAGATTACTCAATAAAGCATAAGGGGAAAAATTTATAGCTTTCGTAATTCATATATAAGAATCATTAAATCAAGACTACTTTCTCAGTTCTTATTATATTTATATTACTATACCTATAATACATATTTGTTCGAGCGGAAAAGCTTTATGAGGTGGTGAGGTTTTATTCTTGATCAATTTAAAATAAGTGGTGATCTAAATAATTGACAAAAAGAGATGTCTACATAATTTTATCAGAAATGTGTAAAATATATAATTCGTCAAATAAGAGGCTCTAGAATAGAGCCTAATCTAATCTAATCTAATCTAATACTACGCAAATCTAGATGGGATACTAAAATAGTATATGATTAAATTTATAAATTCTACTTAATTTTTTTTACTGATTCTACTGATTTTTAAGAACTCCTGATATTACAGTTTTATATATTCGATTACATTATTTTACAATAATATGGTATTGGAAACTCATCCATATAATGCTTAGAGTGATAGATTTGGATAGTATTATAGATATGTTATGGTGGTTCATAAAGTTGGGCCTAGCAAAGAGAATCGCTTTTTGTTAATGTATATAATGCGGTTATTGTTGGTGTTGTAGTCTTCTTAGGTGCCCGACTCGCACGGGCTAAACCACTCCCCCTCATTCCTAGAGACCTTGTTCTACCCCGGGACTACGTTAGTATTACTTCGAGGTAGGGTCCCTATTAGTCATTAAAGACTTCCATTGCGTCCAGATGTTTCTTCTTTTCCCTTAAGACATTTCCGATGAATTTTCTGCTCGTTATATCATTTTTTCTACAATATTATCGACTGTAAAGTGACCTATATATTCTGCAAGTATTGTTCTTTCTCCACGCCATCTTTCGCAGTTGAAGAAAGTATGCTCAGCATTGTCCTCGACTGATCCACAGTATATACAGTTGGGCTGCTCTGCTTTTTGCATTCTGTATAGATCTTTTCGAAAATATCCATGACCAGATAGGAACCGTGTGACATAATAGTCAATCTCGCCGAAATTTCTTTCCGTCCACGACTTTACGTTTGGAATCAGCTTTGCCGTCCATCTTCCTCTTAAATCACAGTTCCACCGTTGTTGCCAGGTCTGAAAAGTTTGTTTTATTATATCTTGAAGGTCTGTTGAGTTGTTTGTCGATCTCTGTTTCCAACGTTTTTTCCATTCATGTGCCTGGAGGTCGATAGGGATGATTCCACTAATCACTAGAACTGCAGGCTCGGATACGGTTCGGTATGCAGAAGCTACCCGAAGTGCAGCAGTCCGCTGTACAGCTGCGTAAACTTTCCTCCTACATTCAACCTTTAAGGCGTTTCCCTTAAAGGATAAGTCACTGTAGGACGTTTATCCTTACCACATAATGCACGTCATCTCTATTTTTTTTTGACATTCTTGGATGTGTTACTAAAAATAGGCACAATTGCAATTATACAATTTGTGTTACTGGAAATTAAAATAAAATAGACACCTGCTTATCCAGTAGTAAGGCCTCTTTATCGTTTCAGATAATTCCAAACAAGAAAGGTAAGAGGCAATGATACATGCACCTTTTACATTAGTTATGGGATGAATCAAATGGAATTGAATCGTGCATGAACTTAAATGATTTTATGAAATTATGCGATGTGTTGATTTTAATTAGATTTTGAAATATTTATTAAGGAAATAACTGAGATATTTTAAATTCAAATAATTCAAAATTTAATGGAGTTGCTGTACCTGCACGTACTACCTTCCCAAACCCGAATTCATTCTTAAACACTGCTATAAATATTTTGAATATAAGTTTCAGTTTCGGTTATAAATAATTCAATTTAAAAACAAATAATATTAATTTACATAATTTTATTTTTATTCTATCTCATTTCTACGAACTCTGAAGATGTATTTTTGTTTTTGTTGGCTTTGTTGGTTTTGTTGGTTTTGTTGGATTTGTTGCGTTAACATATTAGCAGGTTTATCTGTGGAAAATGTCATGGTCATCTGGAGCTTTGTCACAAAGCAACATAAAGAGCAACAATACTTTTTGAAGCCGCTATCAGCAGCAACATCAGCAGCAACATGGGACATGGAACCGATGACAGCGGCTGCTGCTGCCGCCACTCAACTGCGGTACGCAGTCGAAAAGATACGCGTGCTCTTCGCTTCTCAAATTCTGCACAACTCACACATTTCTAGGCAAAAAAAATCCCAAAAAGCGATAAACTCGAAAAACGGGCTCGGAATTCAAAGTGAACAGTAACTAAGGCGGGTTTTGATGAATTCAGTCAACACCAACAAAAACAAAGATATTCAAATAACTTTAATCAGAAATTATGAATCACTTTCGGTTTAGGCGATTTTCAAAATTTCGATTTGCATAATTTTAAGGCGATGATGTTTCTTTTATTTGCAGAAGTTCCAAGAAGTTGGCGTTAGTAATTACCCATGCCACTACACTGAGACGGCAGTGTAGATGGGAACTGCACACTTCTGAGTGTAGTTCTGAGTGTAGTTCTGAGTGTGTATTTTAGAATTAATAACATTCCATTCATTCAAATACTTTTATTGTAGATACATCTATTTAAATGACTGTTTGTGAGTTTATCTAAGCTTGAATGTTTGCAATTTTAAAACCCAAAACCTAGTCCCTCAAATATAAGCAACTAGTTCATTTTTAGAGAATTTAGGGTATCGTTTTATGTACATCATTTTAAAAATTTATTAAAATCTATCATCACCAACAGTTCCTTTAACTTCTTAGGGAGCATAAGGCCTCGGCACGTCATCGGAATCGTGATATATGCCGACACCTCTAGACTCAAAGGCTACCATACTATGGTTTATTGGCTCATAGATTTCAGATTAAAATGTATATTATTATAATATTATTATTGTGACAATATGTCACAACAGCACTTGGGAAAACTGTCTGGAGGTACTTATTCTAAAAGTGAACATGCATAAAGTACGCTTGGGATTGAGATTTGTGTCAAGTTTTTATATCCATATATGAAGCAACTTTGTGCTTTGAAACACAGCACCGTTCAAATGTCTTCTACGATACATCTAGTAGTACAGGATTCTTGAGAGGTAATTTTCGATAACTTATACCACATAATTCGCAATAGCTGTGGCTATAATATAATGGATGTTGTTTTGTAAAGAATTGAAAATTTGAGGATTGTCTGTATAAACGCCATTATTTGTGTAACCTCATAAAAATAAGTGCAGTGATTGCATGACACTGTTAGCGAATTCATCATTCATCATCAGAACTTAATATAACATATTCGGAACATAGAGCGAATATGCACCATATAACACTTCGAATATGAATATGCCTTTCATTTCTTCACTTCTTTAATATTATAATAGGATTGTAGAGATCAGAATTGATGGTTTGTGCTACACCTTCATTATTTTTTTAAAGTACGGGACTATCTCTACTGCAGAGCAAATGCCAAATAGTACAGTTACTTGTTGTGGATATGATGGTTATGATTTTGTTTGCTACCACATCCACCGAGAGGCAATAAACGTCACTGTTGAATAAAATTCAACCGTCATCCAAACGCTATTGTTTGAGCGCTTGTTCTAAGTATTGTGCGATCAATATGGTAAAGTGGCATACCTTAAGTCAAACATGTCATGTATTGCATGATAGATCTGTTTGACATATGTTTCCGAAATAGTACTGTCAAATTAGAATCACGAAATAGATATTTTTTGCAAATCTAGATTTAGCAAGAAAAAAAATTTATAATGCGATTTGAAATGTATCTGGATAATCATGTCAAATGTATTTCAAGATATGGTGAGTTAAGAATATCGGCTATGACACAGCTATACTTTTGGTACATACACTTTTCCCAAAACTTTATTTAAAATTGAGCAAATAATTTAATTCTGTAATTGAAAAAATTTCGAGTACTCGTTTCGCTACAATAAATACAGTGAGTTTCTTGTTTTCCATATGATTCCTATAGTTCTTTAAGCGAGAAAATCTGGGTTGAAAAGATAATAGTTACAGTTCGCGTCAATTTTCTGTAATGCCTTTGATAATATTATTTGATTATTAATCTTTGCTTTGTATTGCTCGTGATAGTCGACATCAGTTGACCACCAATAACATCAAAATAGAAATTCCTTTTGACCCTTAAAGCAGCAATTTCAATTTCAAGACAGTGCCCAACATATATTCCTAACAGTTTCTTTAATTACATGTATATGCCGTCTTTATTCAGTTGTCATATTCCACATTAATACACCGGAAAAACATAAACTTATTATGACATTGACAATTTCTTTAACAAAATTTGTGTAAACCCGTCTGTCTTTAGTTTAAGCAGCGATGATTTGGAAGGGAGTGGCTTTTATCAAGTTTCTCATGTTAAAGATTAGGTTCTCAATACTTGTCTATTCGTTAAAAAATGCAAGGAAAGCAACCTTAAATCATTAGCATTTCATATAACATATACGAGGGTCACTATTTAAATTTTGAGCTTTGCAACATTGATTGTTGTCAGGTGTCATCTGACGTTTCCATACGAAAATTTGACATCATTAAACATAATCTATCTTAGTTAGACTTTTTGTCCAAAGAATGTTATTTGTATTATTCGTGATTTGATTCGTAAATTGAGTGTTCGCGAAAAAATGGACTAAACAGGAGGAAATTTTGAAACGATGATTTATTACGTGGATGATATTCGACGTGGATTATCAAGACAAGAGTGCATCGATCAATTTACTTCCACATCACCCCATTTGGCGATATGATGTTGCTCCATCCTTTGCCACTGTGAAACGCTGGTTCAATGATTTTGATTCTTACAGTAGTTCGTAGTTCCACGAAATTAACGAAATTCGTGAACGTTATTCAAAATCAGTTGTTGTGCCAGAAAACATTGATGCTCTGCAAAAAGTGACACTCGTGATGCAAGATATTGTGACATACTTTGAGATTGGTGTTGAAAGGTTGAGAAAGGTTTGTTCTCGTTAGATCGTTTGATCCCCCATCATTTGATTGGTACACACAAATGCTCAAGAAGTACAATGGCGCTGCTTCAAGAGACGTATACGAGTATAAGATTGTAACAGGTAATGAATTGTGGATATATGCGAATGAGCCGGAACGTTAACAAACGACTACTTGAACATTAAAAACATCGAATTGATGGATCATTCTCCGTACAGTTCTGATTTGACATCCAATGACTTCTTCTTGTTCCCGAACGTCAAGAATAAATTGCGTGGACAACGATTTTTGTTGGCGAAAGCTACAACGAAGCCGTTGTTGCATTTAAAAACAACGGAGGTTTTGGAGGTGTCTGAAGAAGATTGGAAAAAATGCTTTGACAAATGGTTGGAACGCATGCAAAAGTGTATTAACCATAAAAGAGAATACTTCGAGAAAAAATAAAGCAATTTTCAACGACAAGGTAATATTTCGTCATTATTAGGCCCAAAATATAAATAGTGACCCTCGTATGCATAATGTTATATGCATAATATCTCGATTAATCGATATATGTGTGATCAAAAATTTTCGTTTATCTTTAATTTCTGCCTATTTAGACGCCCTAATTTCGATGAAAAGATCACAAAGCAAAGCTTAAAAATTTGATCATAATTTATTCGCAATCTGAGTGACGAACTTCAGTTTCGCTTTTTAAAAAAAGATGTTTTTTATTTTTTTAATTTTTTTAATTTATTTTTTTCTCACTTGTAAACAAGCTTTTTTGACATTTTATTGCAAATTATCAAACAAGCAAGAAAATATACGAAAAGTATACAGAGTAAGTGTAGAAGATCGTCTTCGTTTTCATCTGTAGACGGTCTTCTGTTTGAGCTCAGCTTCAGCGACACCTGCTGCTCTATTGAAGGCTTCAGACCACAGCAGTCGGTAACGAAAACTCACGCGTTTCGGAGCGTTTTTCAGTAGTGCTTAGAACTGTGAAGAAAGATAAAGTGCAAGTTCCTGTTTCCTTTTTTTTTAAAGGATTAAGACTATAAATAAAAATAATTTAAAAATTTTTATATATTCAAATAATTGTGTGATTAAAAACAAAACCAATTATGGCAAAAATATTATTTTGTGCGGCTTTGAGCTTAGCTGTTTTCTGCTCATTGGGTTAGTAGAACGAACTTTCAACCTTTTTTATAATATTTTTAAGAAAATATGATTATTTTTAAATAAATATTTTAAAGTGCTATACATATATATTTAATTCTTAATGTAATATAGAATAATTCATACATAAAGGAACTAGTGCTCTAATCAAGATCGCAGTATTATTAAAAACTTTCAAATTATATTCTGTCTTTAATTTCATATATTCTTTATATATAAAGAAACATTATTAATAATTTTAAGAATAGGGCACTAATATGCCCATTTTCCTAGCAATATTTCTATAGAAAGAAATCTGCACTTATCACTGGACACTGGAACTCCAGTTCATCTATCAAAAAAATAACTAAATTTCGAGACCTATTATCAGGCATCCGATTTGTTTCTAAGATAAATACATAAAATATAATTGGATGGGCTTTTATGATAAAAGTAATTATAGATTTATACGTTTTGACGAGCATGATAACATTCGTCTTGATTTTTTATTAAAACTTTATAAATCTGACAGACAGTATCAAACTAATTCCCACCTTCAATTTTTGATTGTTAGATGGAATGTAAATACAATATATAGAAAAAAGTTTTTTCCGTCTTTAGTCTATTCTAGCCATAGTAAAAATTTATTCATTTAGTGCGAAGTTCAGGGGTAAATCTATATATACAATTAATACTATATAAATGTATATTTTGTATACACATATGTGTATATACATATAATACATAAAAGGTGTAGGGTGTGTTTTGTATCTCAACATAAAGTAGCTGCTTCACAATGAAAACATTTTTTCAAGTTCTTCAGCAATGGTTCTAAACCTAAAACCATGTTTAACATGTTCTTATATCACAATTATTTTTAATAATTTTTTTTATCGCCAACTTCAAACATTTTTAATTAAGGGGAAACACTGGAATAAGGTGATTTTTTGGTTCGGAATCAATTATAAGCTATTGCCAATAAAGAAGGGTAATTAGTCTTAGGTCCTCCATTGCCTAAAACTATCAACCACGAAAACATTAAAGAAGTTCCTTAGACGATATAATAATACGGTGATGATTGATACGTTAATAAAAACTTGAGAGCTGCTAAGGCTGTAAGCGTTCCACTTAACCGTATCTGCAAAGTCAGTAAACAATTACAATTATAATTATTTTTAATGGGCGTATGGACTTTGTCCAGTGACATATCCATATATTATATATTTACTGTTTATTGATGAAATCTAATCATTTATCTAATCATCTAATCTAATATTTAAGAAAATCCCTGAGAGTTTTTCTTCGTAGCTTTATGAAATTGTTGGAAGGTAACACCAGGTCTATTGCTTAGGTTTATAGGAATTTATGTTTGATTTGCAAATTTTAGACGTTTCTTATTTTATTGTTGGAACTACATAAATCGTTGTTGGTAATATACCTACTAGGATAAAGTTGCTATCAAGCGTAGTGATTTGAATTGGTGGTATGAATCATTGTGTTATTTTTAGATTTGGATCAGTCGAAGTTCCATAACTTAAGATGGGTATCGGCTCAAAATCCTGTTTTCTAACGACAATTTACTATTGCGATGGAGAAACCAGAAAAAGTTTTGTAGTTGGAGACCTAATGTTTTCCGTTTCTTGATAATAAGCGTTCTCCAGATCACTTTATTATCTTGGTATGTTCCTAAACATTTTCTCTTCACAGCCTGGTGTACTTGTGTACAATTAAATAAATCAGATTGATAACGACATTGTTTAGTAGTAAATGTGATCTGAACGGACTTGGATTCATTGGGGTATATTCAGCAAATGCACCCATTACATGTTCTTCAGTGAGTGGAAGGTCTGCTGTATACAAAAGGAAAGGCATTGGTCCTATAATGTTGTCTTGACGCACCACAACATCTACGTAATTGGGTTGTCTAGTCTCGTTAATATGTTTAATCAAAAAGTATGTTCAGTATATTGAAGAATCAACAACACAAATTTTGAGCATACATGCTGAGATGATTGACTCTTCCAAGAAACGATAAAATTAGTAGGGAAGAAATTTCATTGTCAATATATATAAGGCATTCAAATAAAGTGTACAGAAAAAAATTTCATATATTTTTTTTGATCTTTTAAAGACCGCAAAATGGTTCAGATTATTATGTTTTCAGCAAAAATTCAGGTTTATACATTGAGAATATATCTACTGTCATTAGCACTAAACAAAATAAATGAAAGCATTTTATTTTGTTCACCTTTAAAATACAACATAATTTTATATATTAATTACCTCGAAAAATTAGGTCGCTGACTTGATTTTTTGCATTTGTCTATTATCTTCATAAGTGCATTTTGAAAACCAAACCAAAGTACATTTCACTTTAATATTAAGACTGTAAACTGTAAACACATCTAGAACTAGAAAAATAAAAAAACTTTAATAGTATTCCTTTTTACGATTAGTACACTTTTGCATGCGTTCTAACCATTTGTCAAAGCATTTTTTCCAATCTTCTTCAGATACCTTCAAAACAGATATCACATTTCAGATACCTTGTTTTTAAATGCAACAACGGCTTCGTTGTAGCTTTCGCCAACAAAAATCGTTGTCCACGCAATTTATTCTTGACGTTCGGGAACAAGAAGAAGTCATTGGATGTCAAATCAGAACTGTACGGAGAATGATCCATCAATTCGATGTTTTTAATGTTCAAGTAGTCGTTTGTTAACGTTCCGGGTCATTCACATATATCCACAATTCATTACCTGTTACAATCTTATACTCGTATACGTCTCTTGAAGCAGCGCCATTGTACTTCTTGAGCATTTGTGTGTACCAATCAAATGATGGGGGATCAAACGATCTAACGAGAACAAACCTTTCTCAACCTTTCAACACCAATCTCAAAGTATGTCACAATATCTTTCATCACGAGTGTCACTTTTTGCAGAGCATCAATGTTTTCTGGCACAACAACTGATTTTGAATAACGTTCACGAATTTCGTTAATTTCGTGGAACTGCGAACTGCTGTAAGAATCAAAATCATTGAACCAGCGTTTCACAGTGGCAAAGGATGGAGCAACTTCATATCGCCAAATGAGGTGATATGGAAGTAAATTGATCGATGCACTCTTGTCTTGATAATCCACGTCGAATATCATCCACGTAATAAATCATCGTTTCAAAATTTCCTCCCGTTAAGTCCATTTTTTCGCGAACACTCAATTTACAAATCAAATCACAAATAATACAAATAACGGTCTTTGGACAAAAAGTCTAACTAAGATAGATTATGTTTAATGATGTCAAATTTTCGTATGGAAACGTCAGATGACACCTGACAACAATCAATGTTGCCAAAGCTCAAAATTTAAATAGTGACTCTTATAGACAACCATGCAAAATGATTTGGAAACGAAACTGATAAGTCTTCTGTCAAGCATTATAGCTTGAACAAATTAGGCATCTCTGTTGATTGGTTAACTGGATCTAGTAGAAAGAAATTTAACTAATAAGATTTCGTGGAATCAAAGTAGAACTACCTGTGATTGCAGTGTACAACGATCTTTTTGAACTCATTCCTCTACAAACAATAAAGTACGATGTTCCTGATTCTATACTAAGAGCCCTAGTATAATGCAATGATTTCACTCTTTAACCTAACCTTAAATTGATATTACGGAACTTGATGACCGAAAATTGCATTTAATTTAATATTGGAAAGAAAAAATTCTATAATTAAAACGATATGATTTAAAAATACATGTACTGCTTTGCAAAATCCTGATTCCATCTCACCAATAATAAATTAAGAGCTATAATGATCGATTGTTATAAGCCAATACTTTTGCTATTATTAATGCACAACGCCAAATAATTGTGCTTTTGCTGGCTACAGTAGCCGGTGACTCCCACAGTATTGTCTGTACCTTAACTCTCTACCTTGTGCATTATAATGTTAACGAAACTCATCGATTTTTTACAAAACATACGGCAGTCATTCTTTCAATGATGACTAAAATTACTTGTATGTAGTTTCAAAAATGTTCTTAAGTCAAGGAAGCTTTCAAATAATAGTAAAATAACTATTCTCACATCATTGATAAAGGCCAGATCTTGAGAATTCATTATCATTCATTGCGTAATTACCCTAAGGCTTACTGCAGTCTGTTATCTCCGTAGAAGAGCCATTACGACAAATGTCACCCGGTGAAATCGCCAACATTTGGGTGACATTTTTGCTGCTCAGAAATATAGTGGAAGTAAATAGAAATACACAAAAATTGTACCAATAATTCAAATAAAAGGAACAAAACTAGATCCAATCTAACACCTTTAAATTTACAAAGTCCCATCCCTTAATTCCTGTTCAGTCAATCAAATTGATTCTGCCTTACCTTCATTCTTTCATACTTTAACGGACAATGAAAGTTCTTCTAGTTAAGCTCTGCTAGATTAGTCGATAGAGCAACGGACGCTTCATTTTAGGGTCGTGAGTTCGAGTCTTACGTTAGGTGACATTTGTTGTGTCCACTATTTGTTATATAACAAAATATAAAAGCTTGTCACTGTGCCACAGTGGTTACAATGCAAAATGGCTATAACTGGCATTTTCTGGTTGCTGGAGTATAGGAACCCAATTAGAGAAACTGCGCTTCCGTTTTTAAACGCACTGTAGAAGTTGTGCACACTTACGGGATAAATGTGCACTTAATGATATTCTCTGTGATTGCTTAGCTTTGGGCTTCCAGAATAAACAGGTTTTTAACGATAGTAAACTTTGATAGTTTGTTGTACTGTTCATTGGTAAGAACAAAAACTCTGCTAAATAACCAAAATTTAACGGAATAAATATAGTTTTCATCTTTTTGGACTTTTTGCGATGAAAGGTGAATAATCTTTAGTTATGGAAAAATGAAGGTTATCCGATAAACTGCCAATAAAAGCGTATCTGAGCTGGATGTGGTTACTGGATGTAGTTATATGTAGATGACATACATACACACACTTCAAGATATCAGTACTTGAACATCAGAACTATAAGAAAAATTCAGAAATTTTTGTCAACATTCGCATTATTTACAACAAAAGTGCTGCAAAAGCACTTATGAAAATATGGTTTATTGATTGTAATCTACATGTAGTTATATGTAGATGACATACATACACACACTTCAAGATATCAGTACTTGAACATCAGAACTATAAGAAAAATTCAGAAATTTTTGTCAACATTCGCATTATTTACAACAAAAGTGCTGCAAAAGCACTTATGAAAATATGGTTTATTGATTGTAATCTACATGTAGTTATATGTAGATGACATACATACACACACTTCAAGATATCAGTACTCGAACATCAGAACTATAAGAAAAGCTCAAATTTTTGTCAACATTCGCATTATTCACAACAAAAGTGCTACAAAAGCACTTATGAAAATATGGTTTATTGATTGTAATCTTTACTGTATTATCGTTATCTGTATTAGTTTTTATGCAAAGTTTTTTATCTAGACATGAATCAACATTGAAATAAATTTTAATCTCTTAGTTATTTATTTAAACAAATCGCTTTCAATGTAAAATAGAATTTGATTAGCAGTTTATAAACATCTCAAAAATCGTCACACCTTATGATTTCCATCATTTTCCGATAAAAATCGTGAAATGTTATGCGTTCTTAACGTATTAAATTACGATAAAAATATGCAAATTAATTAATTGCAATATTTAGTTTTCTGACAAAAATAGTAAATAAATCACTCGATTGCGCATCAAACACCTATGGGCTTTATTTAGACTGGCGTGCAATATTCGCAGGTCCCATATTTTGGTGGGCGACATTCAAGATGAAGGTGCGGGAAAGGCGGCATCAAAGTCATAAAAATTCTATTGAAAACCGTGGCGCGCTAATTGTTTTGAAAAAAACAACAAACCTTTTATTTAAACAAATTTATATGCAATTTATCTATTATTAGTTAAATACATACTGGGAGTTTTATGTGTAGTACGTATGTGTCTGATTCCTCATATATTAGCATGTTAAGCGAAATTCTAGAGTAGCTTTAAAATTTAAGTTAATAATTGCAATTGAACACGAACGGTTCTAGAAGCAATGTGGGGCGAATATATTATTGAACATACAGTTCGCTTTATTGATACTTATTTCATGGTATCAAATATTTGATAATCAAGTTTCATGTTAATAAAGAAGTCCACAAGAAAAATCTTTGTTTAAAGTACGGAGTTTCTGGATAATTGTTAAGAATGAAATAATTAAATAAATATGCTGGAGAAGTCCATTATATCATCCTATATCAGCTATTTGTCCAATTAAATCTGACAAGTGAAGAAACGGTTTTTGTAAATAAAGAAGAAGATATTATGTTGCTTTATCATTAAAGATATATTTTATAATTAAAAGACTGCGGGTTGTTCTGGTGTTTAATATCTACAATCAAATGTCTTGTTTGTCAAGCTCTTTCAATTTTTACTTCTTTATTGCGCTATTCTAGCATTTCATTAACTCTGTTTATCACTTTCAAATTCTTTCACTACGTACATATTCATTACTTAAGTCTTTCCCTAGTTTTCTTTATACATATTATCGTTACTGAACTATTTCTATTATACCTTAAACCAAAATATTTTTATGGCTATAAAAACTTTTCGTAGGATTCAAAAATATCTTTTGACCATCCTCTTAGGTTAGGTTACGTTGAAGTGATAGCCTTGTGTCCAGAGCCCACTTGACCCCTAATAATTGCCTGTTGTGATACCCTGGACTAGCGGTGTTCATACGCAGATCAGACCGATTTCCGAACAACCGCAGTGATCAGCGTACGATCAACGTTGAAAGGCATGACTCACTCATTTAAGTGAAAGTAAACCAACCTGCCAATCTGTAAACTTTGTCAAGTAACTGACTTTGGTACAGAAAATGATAGCTCTGTCAGGTGCGAATGATGTGAGCTGGGCACAAACACTCCATATTAGTCGTTAAGAGAAACTTGGCATTCTCTAACTGTTCAGAATGTAGCTGCATCGCCTACCAGAGATTTGATAATCGATTGGCATTCCAAAGAAGCTGCAATAATTATATCGAGAATCTTGTTGTCTTGGACTCATTTTGCTGCGTAGTGGATCGCTATTACTTTTGCCTGATAAACACTGTTATCGTTTGGTATTCGAAGCGAACTGCTAAGACGCAGTTTATGGGAAAACATGCCACTCTCGACTTTTTCATTTATCTTAGAGCCGTCAGTGTAAATGTCTACTCCATTAAATTTTTATAAAATTTTTTTGGATAGTTCATAATAATATAAGCATATATGGATATATCTCTTTGTGTACATATAAGTAAATAAATATGTATTTAATCGAATGGCTTCTTAGAATGAGGATAGTGATCGACACACGATGGTTTGATGCTGTGCAACATACATATATCAGTCGTATCTGAAACTCTGTCCTTCATGTGCTTCGTTTAATATAATGGAACTTTCTTGATATATGTATTTGGTATCTTGTTTAGTATAGAAGAGTTTCTTCAAGGATGGTACAATATATAGTAACATTTCATATGTCACAATGTGCAAATATGAAGTGCATTTGAAGCGCTTTTAACCACATTATTATTAGCAATGTTTTTAGAAGTGTACCAAACGATTTTGTTGGATATACGCCATAAAAACTAATGATCAGGATGTAAATATGTGAACGTTTTTGAAAAAAAATCAATATCTATCTTTGCATTTGAGCTAAACTTACTTTTTTATCAAATTAATTGGAAGCAAACATCAATATCAAAAATTGTGATATACATTTGTATGTACTCATAATTATATACTTATACTTCCTCTTTCTTTCTTATATGGTTTCATTGTATTTCTTGTATTTCGTACTCAGTCCAAACTATAAAAACCAGGGTATTTTCAATACCGGGCTTCAACAAAAAATAACTTAAGAAATTTTTTATTACTCATTTTTTGCTTAACTTGGTGGAGAATAGAAAATATAAGATTTTTCAGAAAGTGATCAAAATGAAATCAATCATCAAAATGAAATATGTTTTTTTTATAGTGAATAAAATATTTATTGATATATTTTATCAATAAATATTTTATTTTAGCTGATGTTACTCTCATCTGTGTTCCTGAATATTGAAACATTGAAGATAATGAAAAGGTAAACAGATTGGACAACTTTGTGCGTCCCTAGGTGTATGTCTAAGAATACCAGTTTATGTTTCCCTATATATTGACATAATAAATGAAAGACACTTAAGTGAATGGTAACTTTTTGCTTTACATTACTGTCACATGGAACTCATAGAAAGAGATAGCGTGAATATTGCAAAACTTGCTGCAACATCTCTCTGAACCCGCGCAGAAAACCCACATACTGTTTTTAATACTCATTGTAGAAGTTGCAGAAACTTGCAGGAAAAAAATTTCCCTTTTTCTGTGAATGCCCGGTTCTGGTGTGCAGAAGAAATACATTGGTTCCAAAGAAGTATTTTTGACAGTTTATCGATAACGACAAACATCTACCTATTAAATTATCTTAATTCGACGGAATGGTTTCCGTTGTCTTTTTGTATATTAAGGATTTTGTGAGGGACGTGGGAATAGAATGACAAAAAATCTATAATTGTAGTCAGCTGAAAGTTATCTGCTGACCTGACCTGCCACTGCAACCAACTTCCCAGCGATAAATCAACATCATGAGTATCAACATCAACTTGAGATTTGTGACAGCAAAATCGCTGCCACTAAAATATACTTCTTTTTTCTCTACCCACGACCTATTAAAAGTTCATTGCTGGACCTTACGAGCTATTACTCTTTTTAACTTTATCGCTTAAACAGATTATACACGCATGAGGAGAGCAGGGGCAGGCACATTGTTGACACATTTACTTCAGACTCAACTGGTAATGATCTAAAAATTAAAATACGGCAATGGTCGAATATTATTGAACAGTAAATGTTGTATCAAAAGCGTACGTACGCCCCTCACTTCTGCGTATTGCCTAGCGACACACATGCCTAACAAATCTCCGCCTCAAGGTCAATCGTTTCATTTGTTTTATTTTAATTCACATTAATTTCTTACATAATTCTAAATTGATTTTTTTTTTTGATTGACTTCATTATCTTTTCGTTTGTGGTCAAACAGGTTTATATATTATATTTCCTTCTGGTATTGTTGGTGCTCAACATCTTCTTTTTATATTTATTGCTGTTGTTGTTGTTGTTGTTGTTACTCTTACTGTTGCGAACTACTTCAAGAAAACTTGTTTATGTTAATTCAAAAAAAAAAAAAAAAACAAATTTTTAGCTTCACTATTGATATATCACTGTTGACTGTATTCATGCCAAAGCCGGTTAAAAAAGCTTTCTGTGAAATTTGTTTGTTGCGCTACAGCCAGCATAAATAACGGTGTCAAACAATGTTTTGCACAAAGTCAGACATAACCCCATAAGCTTCCAAATAAATAATTGATTACTTTCGTAGAATGAACTTCAAAAGCAGCTTAAAGACAGCTGTCATACAAAGGAAGTCTCCTTCCAATAACTTCGTCATAGTGAAGTGGGGCTACAGTTGTTTGTGTAGTATTATTGTGTTGGCAACGCTAAACCCACAGTCTGATTTTAATATTTTTTTTAAAACATTTTTTTTTCCAACTCATTTTGTGCATTTTAAAATTTTCCAAAAAATTGAGAACAAAACAAAACCATACATTTCTAGGTAAGCCTGAATAAACTTTTATTAATGTTTTCCTTTTTATTTCCTTTTTTTCTCTTTTGCAGTTAACGCCCAATGCAAGGAAGCTAATGGTACCTATCCAGTATCAGGCTCATGTGATTCTTATATCGAATGCAAGAACGGTGTTGCTGAGGAAAAACTTTGCCCAGATGGTTTGCTCTTCAATGAGAAATCAACTGGGTATCCATGTGCTTACCCTATTGATGTAGAGTGCACACAGCCACAAGCACGTTTGCAAGCCGCACAACCCACCGACGATTGTCCACATCAGTTTGGCTATTATCGCATGGGCGATGAGACTCACTGTGGTCAGTTCAAAAATTGCGCTTCCGGAAGGGGTTACGTATTCGATTGTCCTGAAGGTTTGGCTTGGAACAAAGACACATACAAGTGTGATTGGCCAGATCAAGTACCTGATTGTGATGCTGAAAAATTCTTGGGCTTCCAGTGTCCAGCAGTTGTTCCACGTTCTGCACTTTTAGGCGAACAGGAGGAAGAATATCACTTCTATCCATCGAACGAAAATTGTCAAGTTTACTTTATTTGCATTGAGGGCCGTCCACGTCGTATTGCTTGTGGTGAAGATCAAGCATTCAATCAAGAGATCAATGCCTGTGACGATATTGAGAACGTGTCCACCTGCAGTGCCGATATCAGACAGCGCGGATTAGACATTAAAAAAGCCCGCGTTGATTTACGAGGCCGTTAAAAAATCTTTTTTTTTAAATGTTATGTATAATATTTTTATGTTATATAATCTTTAAATAATTAAACAATCTTACTTATGACTTTGTTTATGTTTCACAGAGATTTTCTAGTCCATAGTTAAATACCACAATGATTTTTGGCACTCAAAAAGTGTTCACTTTATTAAATTCAAATAATTATAGAAATAAATGCAAATTTAAATAAAAATATTAATTTTTTTTCTTGATTGGCTTTGAAATAAGACTGAAAAGGTTAATAAAATAAGAAGCAGTCGTTTTAAAAATAAATTATAAATCTAATTAAATAAATCATCTTATGGATTTTATAAAAGTTACAAGGGAAACTTACAAAAAATTTTCCACAAAATATTTATTTAAATTAAAAAACTCCCTAATATTACTTGAGATCTTGGTCAGCTCCAGGACCGCCCTCTGAACATCTGCTTAAACTTTGCCAAAGGTTCAAAACGGTTTTTTAACCTCTGAGTTCTTGTACGAAAAAACAATGAGCTAATATACCTAAGTAAATCCTTACGATCGCCGGTATAACCTAACCAAAGTACATCGCAATTTTCATCTTCTGATGTAAGGGTCAAAAGCGTGTGCCCCAATGGAGTATTGATGCGTATATATAGCCTAGCCTTCTCAACTGTATGGCCCAAAAACATATAGTTGAACGGAATCTCTCTAACTAATAAACACTAATCCTATCTCCAGGTTAGCAAATAAAAAGATCTGGCACTCCAGGTTGGGGGTTGATCGCAAGGCCAGCAACCTTGCATAAGAAAAATTTTACCACTACGTAAACCTGAGAGACCAAGGTTCACACTAGACTGTAGTGCCAAATAAGAAGAAGAAGCAAGCTATTATAAGTACATTCATTCTAGAACATTTTAAAACATAACCGAAAGCTGATGATTATGTAAAGAATGGGACAGTTGCTATATAAAGTACGTTTAGTACACAGATAGCACGTTTATCTGCTTATTGTCGCAAGCCTTAAAACAAACAGTCTCAAATTTTATTAACTATAATCACATCAATACTTCATATAGACAGATAGGAAATAAACGGGGTACTGGCTTCCAGGTACTGGCAGAATGCTCTAAATATGATTTGTATTTTGTGCCTTCTTCGGCATAACCTAACATAAAATAGTCATTATACAAAATTAAAGAAGTTCTTTCAGTAAACTTTGCAGAAGTTGAAGAAGTGTCTTTGCTATAGAGGTCGAAACAGTGTCTACGTTTTATTGTAATAAGTTTGCAGGTGACTACGTTTCATGTGAAACGTAGTCAGGATAAGGTAATAGACAGAGAGGTAGAGTAAGAGAGAGAGAGAGAGAAAGAGGTAGAGTGAGAGAGAATGTGAGGATGGGAGAGCCAGAGAAAACATTACATTAATAAAAATAAATCAATATGTGTTATAAGTAAATAATTCAACAGATGTTGTACGATATTGTACAAGTACTTTGATTTGTTTACTTTCAGATTCATCATATTATTTTTCGAACTTATAATAGATAAGATTTCTCTCTGTCCAATTATATATTACATATTTTCTAGATCTCTATATTCTTACAGAATTGTCTAAGTTTTAACTTCTTTACAAAACGCAGTCTATTCCAAAGGGAAATCTACCGAATTGGTCTTGCAGAACTAAACTTGTAAAATTAAAAAGGCCCACAAAAATAAAGAAATTGCGTTTTGTACATTTCTAAGTTAGATATAGAAGGAGCTTTCAACAACACGAGTTATGGCTCGGTCACGAATGCCTTAAGAAACAGGAATATTGATTCCGATATTATTTTCTGAATTAATTTTAGCCAACACGCCTGTAGCTGTTGAGACTGCAAAAGGTTGTGCAAAGGGAGAAGTGTTGTCTTCTTTGCTCTGGTAGGTAGTTGTCGGTGAGGTCTTAATCTTACTGGAAAATATTGGCTGTGACGCCATCAAGTATGAGGACGACTTAATCCTAACAGCGTCTGAAAAACATTGCAGTTGAGAGCTATTGCTGTTTCAGAGACTAGCGTGTCTCTTAATGACTAGCGCAAAGGATTAGTCCAACTGTGACACTTTAGGCCGTACGTCGGCTGCACATCTGCATATACATATTCTGTCTACAACTGCGCTTAGTCCACTGCGATTAAAACTCCACATAAATAAGGATTGACTTGACTATAATCATAAAATAATATTCAAAACATTTGGAGTACATAAAATATCTCAGTGCGATGGAGACCATATGGCAGTAGTTCCTCGCTTTGGTAGGAAATTTGAGGCATACTTACAATCACGTTCAACCTGGGATAACGGAGGCCCATAGGTTGACCCAAAAGGTTTGATTTGATACACATTTGGATCAAAAATGGATGGAGACGCTGGTGCTGGTAAGTCTTTATTAGGTTTCGGGTCACTGAAGGGTTTTGGGTAATGAGCGAACTGATTAGCTAGCCAGAACTACATCAAAAATTGTTTCTACAGGTCCGCAACCTTTTTGTGGGTTGAATTGGGCCAGTATGAAACAAATTATCTAGGAGAGCGGGCATCGTTTCTGTCTGGTATACGGGGAAGATTTCCCTGGACTCAGACAAAGAAGAGCACTACTCAAACTACACTCCTACAAAAACATTCTTAAATTCTTGAATGGTGATTTAAGGTTACTAACGGGTTTCATTACGGAGTCATTATGGCAGAAATATCACCTACATAAACTTCAATTATCTGCTGACCCAAAATGCAGATTATGCCTCGTAGATGAAAAAACTACTATGCATATTCTTTATGATTGTCCAGCTTTTAAGCTTTAACTTGTTTCATATAGAATTTCTGTCACTAGTACATATTAAGAGCTTTTCTCCAGATTTAGTTCTGAACTTTGTTCACAAAGGTTTAAAGAGCTTTGCGTAATTAAAAGTGAATTTGGTACAAAAGAACTCTATATATATTACATATATTATATATCATATATTATATATGATACTATTTATTTTTGAATATACTTTTAGACAGTATGCATTTTCATTTATTTTCTTTGATAAATAAGAAGAAATTAAATTGAGTTATTTGTTTATTTTCTTACAGCATCAGCTATTTCAACATGTCCTGAGCCAAATGGTCGTTTCGCTTCAGATGAACAGTGCGACGCTTACATAGAATGTACAGAAGGTGTAGCTGTAGAGAAACTATGTCCCGACGGTTTACTTTTCCATCAGCGTACAAAGGCCAGAGGTGAATGCACATATGCTCCATTCTCCACTTGCAAAGAACGTACTCGTCTACAGCCAGCAAACGGCACGGCGGAATGCCCACGTCAATTTGGCTTCTATCCATCGGGAGATAGCTCGAAATGTGGCGTTTACAAGAACTGCGCACATGGTGAATCGACCATAACGAAATGCCCCGAAGGACTCGCATTTAATGTAGAAACCTATCAATGCGATTGGCCAGATCTCGTCGCCGATTGTAACGCTGAGTCATATTTGGGATTCACTTGTCCACCACCTGAAGTTGTTGATGGAGTTGAAAAAGAAATCGACGTCAGTCCCGAAGGTGAATTGCGTTACTTCCGCCATCCTGACAGCTGCAAACGCTACTTTGTGTGTGTCAATGGCCATCCACGTCTCTACAACTGCGGCAAATACTTGGCATTCAATGCCGAGACTAAATTATGTGATTTCTATACTCACGTCCCCGAATGCTATGCTCGCTTGCGCGATGCACGCACAAAAGTTGAAAAGGCTTAAAGGACTCAAGTCAATTTCCAAACTGCCATTTAAGTTTAGTAAATATGCTTTGTAAATATTTTTTTTTTATTTCCTTAATACATATACATATACATAAATCAAAGCTTTATAAACAATTTTTAAATAAATAATTTTTCAATAAAATTGAATTTATTTTTAATTTTTTTTGGCATTCTCGTATTTAAAGTAAGCCAATAATTAATAAAACAAATATGTATCCTTAATTAAAACTATATAAGTTTTATTCATAATCCGTTTCAGGTAAAAACACCTGAGTGAGGGATAGGTAATACAGTTCCCTATAGCCTTTATGTAGAGATGAAATATATAGACCCTACAGTTACACGCTGGTTGATCAAACACATCAGATATATAAATATTTTTACGTTTTATATTTATTTAACTATAATATTACGATATTTTAATATGATAGCATGGCAACAATAAATAACAGGGGAGAGCAAATAATTACATCGGTATGATTATCGAGCTCTACGAAAAATTTCCATATAGGAAATATGTCTCGTCTTTTTGAAATTTTTGGCTGTAAACTAGTGTAATTGTAAGCCAGTCGATAAGAGACCTTTGTTATAAAAACGCTTGTGGTAAGCAAATATATATTAATTTCCTATATATTTATACATTAATTTCCAACCAGTGCAGAATGCTGGTTAATCTGCGGTCATATGTCGGAACTTCACTTATCTGCTTGAAACATAAACCAAACAAACTTCCTCGAGAATGGTTGAAGGACCGTGGATACAACTATAATGTCAATCACATCAATCAATTATTTCAGTCACACTAGAAGAGTTTATGGGTTAATAAATTTCGAAATATATAAGTTAGTAGCGCTCTGAATTTACGAAGATACTTTATATTTAATACACTTTATGCGTTATAAGCAAGTAAATTGTTTTTAATAAATACAATTTTTAATATACTTATTTATTCATTTTAATATCTTATTAATTGTACAATTCTAACCATAAAATTAATTTTTGATCCAGACACTGCGTCAGCATAAGATCATATTTCTTTTTTGTAGTCTTATGCTAAAGTACTAAAAAACCAATGAATTTAGAATCAGTTTTTAAAAGCGCTACATAGTGAGCCAGAGCAAAACTCATGTTTGATTTTCTAAGTCAAGTCTTCATAGAAGACAGTAAAAGCATTTACTTACAATTATAAGCCGGACAATTATTGACTTATACACATGTTTATGTATCCATTAATCATCACGAATGCCTAAGCCGCATTCAAATCAGCACTCTCGTGGGCATTACAAGAGACAAGAGATGCCGCATTAAAAGTGCTCTGTGCATAGTAAGAACAGAGCGCTTGGTATTTTTAGCAATCATAGCATTCTATACGCTTTATTAGTAGTGCATCATCTGATTTGCATCAAATATGTAGCTGGGTATGTTA